GGTGGGACCTGCAACAGTTGGAAAAAAATTCACAGAGTGAACTTTGTAACCTATAAATATTATACATATATATATGTATATATACACACACACATGTATATATATGAGAGAATAAAGGGATGTGATGAATGCATAAAACACATTTATAAATAACAGTTTGTTTTATCATTTCTTACCATAAAATACAGACATTTGTTAGGAAAGGTTGTGCAGGTGCTAACGAACTCTTAACAGCATCATTCTCAGTGGCAAGAAATGTAGACAGGCTCAGGTGTTTGCTGCTGGGTGATGGTCGTTGTGTCAGTGTCACCCTTGCTGTACATGGCTGCAGTTCTGTGAGCAGCGTATCAGTAAAACAGGGTCCCTGGAGGTGTGTGTGTGTGTGTGTGTGTGCGCGCGCGCGCGTGTGTGTAATTATGTGGAAGGTGCATGTAGAACATGCTAAGTGACCGTCTGTGTGAGGGAGGCACAGAGGGAGGCTGCTGGTCGGTGAGCAGGGAGCTTTGGCTGTGCTGAGGGTGCTCCCGACTGCTTGTTGTGCAGCTCAGAACATGTGTTGTTTCCGCCCGTCCTGTCCCGAAGCCTCCTTGATGGTCTGAAGCACGTGGGCCTGTGACTTTTTCAGGAGGCCCTCGTGAGACCAGCCTTCTGCGTCCGTATGTGTTCCTTACAGTTTTACCTCGGACCTTTCTACTTGGTATTATACTTTATAATCTTAGCTGGCTACAAAACCCTTGCCGTACATCTCTTTGCTCTGAAAAGGTTTAAGTTAGTTACCCCATTATCTTCTGGCATAAATTGTGCTGCCAAAATCTGATTTTCTTTACTTTATACTTGATTTGATCCTTTTGCCTGAAGGCCCAAAGGGTGTTATTTTCTTTAAAATCCATTTACTGAGATGACTTAGCACCAGTCATTCTTGCATTTGTTCAAGTTTTATTTGAGGAAATTTTTTTTGAATTATGGTTTTTAGTATTGTTTTTTCCCATTTCTTGGATTTCAGGTTCTGTCATATAGATGCTGTGTCTGTCACTGTCTCTGAACTCATTTTTGCTCCATCTGTGTCCTTTTCACCATCCTTTCCCTTTATAAGCACCCCTGGTGTCATTTCTTCTAGTTCCTCTGTTTAGTCTTCTTGTTTAATTTCTTTCCTCTGCCCACCCCCAAAATTGCTAGCTGTTTCTTTACTTTGTTTGACTTTTCTCACGTGTCTTAGCTGTGTCTTTTCTGAGATTTTCTGTTTTTGATGTATATGTTCCTATGTTAATTAGGGTTTTCAGGTAAACAAAACCAGAGGAGGATAAATATAGAAGAGATTTGTTACATGAGTTGATTCCTGTGGCTTGCAGGCAGAGACCTCCACAGACCACTGCAGGAGAGCGTGTAGATGGTCTCCGTGCACTTGCAGATCCTCAGTCTGCTCACCTAAATGAGGAGGGAGGTGCCAAGATGACTTCTTTGTCTGGAGAGCTCTGAATCTGCCTCTGCTGGTTTCTTGTGACAAATTTAAAGTCCTCCGAGTAGCCATCTCTGTCCCCTTTCTGAGCTCTGCCTTTGGGGATCTCCCTTCATGTCCTCTGCCCTCTCATCCTGCTGTGCTGAGGGTTTACCCACTCAGTTGGGTACCCTGAGAGCAGAAAGAGCCCAGTGGTTTTCTGGCCTCACCGTCCCCCTCCTGGGTGAGTGCTGCTTGTTGGCCATGGCGACCATATGTGCTGGAAGTCCCCTTCACCAGCCCTCCAGCATATTAAATTTGGCTGAGTTTATGTAACTGGTTCAGGATAAATTATTCCTACTTAGAATGTATAGAGTATAACTTTAAATATTACAACCTACCGTACGTTGTTTAAAACTCGTGTGTGTTACGTGTCAGGTGTTAACTAGTACTCACGGTGTATCATCAGCAGGAGTATTTTACCGGTAAAGCTGAGACAGGACTTGTTCTTTCATCAGTTTCTCCTTTTGCAGTGTATCAGCATCAAGTTGGGTTTGGCCTACTGCTTGCGCATAGACCAAGGATTATACTTTGTCTTTGGATTTCAAGGTGAAACAAAGTTTCTTTGCTGATGTATTGTTATAAATTTTTCAGTTGCTAGTATTCCAGGAGTAATGTAACTTGATATCAAGTGTTTGTAATATTACATTAAATATTTGTCATAAATTGTGTGACTAAGAGTTAGGTGTTTTAGAGAAATATTGCATTGTTGTAAGTTAGCCTGAATTCTAGTTTCAGTAAAAGTTAAATCCAAGGTTTATTCATGTTGTTTAAATCAGTAGAAAAAGAATTTTTAGACTGTTGTATTGGGTGGAATAGTTGTCTGTTTCTTTTAGTTTTGAAGTAATTACCTTTGTTAGTTTTCCTGTCCCTGAGACACAGTACCTATATCGACAACTTCAAGGAGGAGAGGTTTAATTTGGTTCATGGTTTAGAAGATTCTAAAGATTTAGATGATCGTCCCACTCCAGGGCAGAAACCACATGGTATGGGACGGGGCAGAGAGAAGTTGCTTATTAGGTCCCAGTGTCGAGTGGAGCCAGACGACACGCGCCAAAGAAACGGGCATTGCATTTGGGTATGTAGTACTCAAAACCACGCTCCACCAGACAGCCCCAGGAGTGTGCTTTACTAACCTGCTAGGTGTTTCTTAGTACAGGGAAGTTGACATGTCAGACTAACAGTCACCGTCTACCTTCTGGTCAGCTGCACATTCATACAAACCTTAAACCATACTTTAGGGAAAATTGCAAGTTCACAATTTCCCCTAGCATAGTACAGTTATCCAACTTACAACCAGAAACTCAATTGTCTTTCCCTAAAGTCTGAATAGTTTCAGCATTTTTCAAGTCTAATTTAAGACAAGTCCAGCATAATGTAAATTCTTAGCTGTGAACTGCTGTAAAAATAAAAAGTTACATAATCCCAAGGTGCAACATGCAGGATAAGCACACCCATTCTAAAAGGGAGGAAGAGCAATGGAAAAGAATCAGACAAAGCAAGACCCACACCCCACCGGCTGCTGCTGAGTCCTCCTGCTCCTTGTCTGGCACGGGAGGATCATGGTGGTGTGATGTGAGTTTCAGCGGGTATGGGCAGTTCTAACCTGATGGACTTGGTGTTGCAGGCGAAGTGAGCTCTCTTGGAGTAGCTTTGTGCATGATTTGCAGCTTTCCCCAGCAGATAATCTTTGTCCTGGCACCTTTAGTCTCCTGGGGTCTCCACCGCACCTTTGGCTTCGTTTTCATAACTTCTCCCACTGCAGTCTTGCGCATACGGAGCCTCCCAGGCCTTTCTTTCCAGTCTAGATGGAAACTTTCTTGACTCTACAACTGTTGTGCATGCCAGTAAAACTAGCGTCTCATGGGCATTGCCAGTCACCTGCCAACTCAGCAGTGATGGCTCCTTTTGCCAAAGCTACAGCAGCCTCTTAGTGCCTTGATGGCTAGCAGAGTGAAATGAATCCCAGAAAGTCAATTCCCTGGGAGGCCTTTCTCCAGCACCTCAGGGACTGTCTTCTCAATAGAAAGGTTTATATTTTGCACCCTTCACCCTGCTATGGGTGGGGGCTTGATGATTCTTGAGATGCCCTCAAGTTCTCTTTCCTCTTGTGCTTGTACAAAGTGCTTGCTTCAATGGTGCTAGTCTCTCTAGTTTCTGTTCCTCTTTTGGCCTCAACTTTATACATAGTTCTTTGTGAGCCATCAATTTAAATTTTTCTGAAAATTTCCTATTGCCTTTTGCAAAAGGAAATGTGTCTATGCAACAGCCTGTCTTAATTTCCTCTACCAAATTAATCAATCACTCTTAAAATTAGCGTCCTTGCAAAGTCTCAGAATGTGGGCAAAATGTAGACTTTCTGCCAGAGTAACACTGACACCTCTAGTCTTAATGCTTGTGGAGTCCTGGTTCCCAGTTGAAACCTCCTCCTGACTTTTACTGTCAGCATTTTGGTCTTTTGTGCTCCGAGCAGAATCATATGTCAGGCACTGCATTCTGCCTTCTAATACCTCTCTAATTCACGTCTCCAAACCTTTCTACACTCCTCCAGGAAAAGAGTTCCAGAGGCTTTTTAAACCACATAGTCTGGCTTGGTGGCACAGCACCTCCTTGGCAAGCCCAAGGTTGTGAGTTCAATTTCCGGAACAAATAAATAAATAAATGAATCAACCAATCAGCCAACCACATGGTCAGGTACAGTCACACAGCAATGACCCCACTTGTGTGGTACCACTTCTCTGTGTTAGCTCTCCTATTGCTGAGACACAGTGCCTGACACCCACATTGTAAAGAGGAAAGTTTTGACTTGGTGCATAGTTGCAGGAGATTCAGTATGCAGTCATCTAGCTCCAGGGCAGAACCCTGACAAGGAAGTAACCAGGCAGAGCACTCTCTGTTCACGGTAGCTGGGAGAGCAGAGCCCAAGCATCAGCCAGTACGTTCTTGAGCATCAGGTACCCAGACCAAGGAGGCCAGACCCCCATGACCCATCCAGATACACCCAGAAGTGTGTGCTCTACTGATTTTCTTGTTGTCTCTTGGTCCTGTGAAGGTGACATATCAGAATTCACAGTTGCGCTATCATACGAAGTGCGTGCATATATCGTTATTGTTGGTCACTCCTTCCTTTTCTTTAATTCAGACAATTCCTAGATAATTGAGTTAAAGGAAAACTGAGAAAGCTGAAAAGCTGGTGTTTGGGAGTATGCCTTACATTCCTATTGATAAATGGTTTTTTTGTGCCTGTGCACAGCTCAGGTGCCCAGCATGCTCCTGTTGCTAACGAACCATGTCAAATGTTTGTTGTTGGACATGGCCTCACCTGTGAACACCACTAATGGGGGTAGGAGCCAAGCTCCTGTGTCCCCGAAGCCGAAGCCGGAGTGTGGCAGGCAGGAGTGTGCATGTCCCTTGGGGCTGTCTGTAAAGGGAGTGTAGCTGGCGGTGGTGTTGGATCTTATGTGCACTCTCTTGAGATGATAATACTTTGTGTGTGTGAATACAGAAAACATCGGAGCAGTGTGGGACCAAGCAAGCCTGTGTCCCAGCCCCGGCGGAACATCGTAGGCTGCAGGATCCAGCACGGCTGGAGGGAGGGCAACGGCCCTGTCACCCAATGGAAGGGGACTGTCCTGGACCAGGTGCCTGTGAACCCTTCTTTGTATCTTATAAAGTACGATGGATTTGACTGTGTTTATGGACTAGAACTTAATAAAGATGAGAGAGTTTCTGCGCTCGAAGTCCTTCCTGATAGAGTTGGTAAGTTGTTCTTACTGTCTGCACATTGTTGTTCTAAAAATGATGAGAAATGGATGCTTTTTAAAAAACGTTGTTGGTGTCTATACTTTTGGAAATCAGGGACCCCTGATAAAACTTTCAATCAGTCATCCAGAACCACAGAAGTTGATCCAAAGCAGATGTTCTGAAAGTACAGTTTAAGAAATGGTGATGGATATAGAGATATGTAAAATGTTTTCTCAACAAGTTTACAAATAATAATTTCTCATAATGTTGTTTCTGACATTTTTGCTAAGTATTACTCTGTTCATTTCATCAGGTAAAGTGACTAGGAAAAGCTTTTCTACATTTAGTTTACAATCTTGATGTGAATTGAATCTGTATATAAATGATAATTGTCTGCTCTTTGAGCTAAGTGTAAGAACCAAAACACAAGGTTTATTATAGTGTGTGTTTGAGCAGTGGAAGGCATTAAAAAATACAGCTTCAGCACATCTAGAATTAAAAAGCAGGAGTTTGGGGATCAAATTGTCAAAGAAAATCTAGTTTCTCTTTCAGACTATATCATTGTGTTCTTGGGAAAGTTGCTTCCCCAACAAATTAATAACTCTTTGTCACAACAGCAAGTTAATTTGTTAATCTTCCCTTAGAGAATAAATGCTAAATCTTCCTTTGTCCTGTATACACACTTTGATATTCCCAAAAATCTTTCTTAGATTTAAATCTTTTGCATTTTCAACAATTTGTACTTTCTTGGTTTGTTTGTGGTGGTTTTTTTGTTTTGTTTTGTTTTTGTAGCACTTGGGAATTGAATCCAGGGCCTTTGTGCATGTATGTTATTAGGCAGGTACTCTACTGCTGAACTACATTCCCAGCCTTCTTTTAAATTCTTGGGGTGGGTCTCATTAAATTCCCCAGGCTGGCCTTGATCTTTTATTTTGTCCTGTCTCAGTTTTCCAAGTGATTATAAGTGTGACTACATTCTTGTTCTACTTCTTGTGTATATATCCTGTATTTACTCATCATCTTGACCTCAGTCCATATCCAAAGTTTAAAATGTTAACTTATGTGAGGCACTTATTTGCAGGCTAAATATTACACACTTAAAGAATTTATTTGTGCTAAATAACTGTTGTATATTTCTTCCAGACCCAAAATGTTAGTCTCCATCCCTTCTAGGGCAAAGCTCCAGCTTCTGTGAGCCTTCCTGTATATGATTGCTGTGTGTCCTATGTTCACAGATTCTTTTGTTGTCTTTGGACAGCTATAGACAGGTATTTCTGGAAGTAGGTGTCTCTGGTACATGATGTGGTTATTTGGGGTTACCCCCGTTTCCAGCAGTAGATGGGGATTCCTGTAATAGCAGGTGGATAATGTGGTTTGGAAGGAGGGATCAGAAGCCTGCGTGCACATTGGGAACATGCATGCCCAGTTCAGTTCATGGTCAGATGCTGTTAATGTTAGTGTTCACCATGATAGATGGACCCTTTGTTTATATCTTACAGAAAGAATACAGTCTCCCTAACTGTTTAAGGCAGTGCACTGGACTGTAGTTATGTTTTCTTTAAGTTGATGGTAGAGAAAAAAATAAATCATCTGATTGTCTGATGGCAGAGCAGTGTTTTCCAAGACAGGGCCTGGGGCGCTGTGGGGTTTCCTGAAGCCCATTTAGGACAGTAAGGTATAATTTGCTCTCCTCATTTTTATTCCTCCACAGTTGCATAGTGGCATTGCCCGCTGACTAACTCACAGACACATTGTGGGCAGTGTGCGGTTTATAAATCATACATTCAGCAGAGATCCAGTCACAGGGCGAGACTGACAGTGGTTTTCTTCTGTTTTGTTTGTTTTTGTTTTTTGAGCCCAGGTGTCTGTGTAGTTCAGGCTGACCTTATACTTGGTGATCCTCTGGCCTCAGGCTTCCAGCAGCTGGGATTATAGATGTGTACCACCATGTCTGGCAAGACTGACGGTTTTTTAAGATAGTGGTTAAAAAAACATGAAAGTATTTTAACCATTTTATAAGTGTGCAATTTAGTGTATAGTATTTATTTAAAAACTTAACATAAAAGTTAGTATTTTAAGCCTGGTGTGGTGGCACACGCCTATGATCCCAGCAGTCGGGAGACTGAAGCAGGAGGTTCAGTGCAAGTTTGAGACCAGCCTGAGTTACAAAGTGAACTCAAGGCCAGCTTGAACTGCATAGAGAAACTCTGTCTCAAAAAGACCAACACAACCAAAACAGGTGTACTGTTCAGCAGGGTTGGTCTGTTCACATTATTGTGGAAATTGGTAGCCAGTAAGCAGCAAGTCTCCTTTGTGTCCTTCTCCCTTAGCTCCTGGCACTCAGCTCATGTATCTTCTGTCTCTTACGGATTTGGCTACTCTAGCAACTTCATGTATGGTTTGTCCAGTTTATTTCCCCAGGCACAATGTCCTTAAGGTTCATCTGTCTAATATGCACAGAATTGCTGACTCCTTTTAGGCTGAAAATAGTGTTCCATTGTATATGTATGTATGCATCACATTTTGTTTTCCTATTTGTGCACCGGTAGATATTAGAATTGTCTTCACTTTTTGTTGGGACATAAATTTGTGAATTGTGCTTGTATGAGCATGAGTGCGCAGGTGCTTACTTGGCACCCTCCTCATTCTTTTGATATGTACCTAGAAAGGGGATAAAGTAATTCTAATTTTCTAAATAGAGAGTTTTCGCTGGGGATTTAGCTCAGCGGTATAAGTGCCTGCCTTGTAAGCAGGCAGTCGTGAGTTCAATCCCTGGTACCGATAAAAATGGAAAAAGGAAAAAAAAAAAAAAAAAGAATAGGGAGTTCTCTAAATGTCATATTCCTTTCCTCTACACTTGCACCATTTTAAGACCCATCCATGATGCAGCTCCTTGGTAGAGTGCTTGCCCAGAATGTAAATCCTAACCCTTCCAGTTTCCAGTAGTTGTTTACAGCCCCTAGCGTGCCCCCAGCTCCCTCCAGGTCTCCAGCTGGAACTTTCCTTTCTGATGGTGGTTATTTATTCTGATAGATGTGACAGATGCCTTGTGGATTTAAATCTTGGGTAATCATGTTGAGTAGCTTTCAGGTGCTGGTTAGCCATATGTGTATTACTTTTGGAGAAATAGCTCTTCAGATCTTTTGATCATTTTTTAAATAGGATTATTTGTTTTATTGTTGGAGTTCTTTATTCTAGAGATACAGGTTTAATATGTCAAGTTTATTGGTAATTGTTTCACGTTCTATGTTGCTACTGACTAGGCAGCTGCCAATTGTTGACTTTTGATGTAATTTTATAGAAAACTATCTAAACTTTCCTGAAAGACAATTAGAATAGTCTTTATCAGCGTATCTTTGGGAGTCTGATGTCAAATTTTAAAATAATAGGTTAAAAGCTGAAGCAGGTAAGAGAATCAAATTGTTCTTTTAAAGCTAGACATTGATTTGCCAAAATGTAAAAATTATGCCACTCTTAATAAATTTTGGTTAGAAAATGCTGAGCGTTTTTTTTGTTTCGTTTTATTTTTTTGTGGTACCATGGGTTGTACCCTGGGCCTTAACTCTAAGCTATACCTCCGGTACACCCTGCCCCGGTCCCCATGTTAAGTTTTGAGACAAGCTACTGCAGAGTCTCTGCATTGCCCAGGGTATACTCAGATTTGACGTTTCTTGCTTCAGTTTCCCAAAGTGCTGGGCTTTATGGGTGGGGGCCTCTATGCCTGGCTTTATTTTTGTAATCAAAATGCATTCTCTAGGTATTCTAAATATGTTTAATTCATTTTTATTTTTTAAAGAAGAAAATACCGACAGACAAGCCACCTAAATAAATGTCTTTTAGATCTTCAGTAATTTTAGCACTTTAAAGAATTCATGAGATCTGGTAGTCTGAAATATGCTAGCATGAGAAAACCAGTGATATTTTTAGTATCAAGCGAAGGAGAATTCTGTTTGGGAACCTGATTAATTGAATAGCAGTACATTTTTCAAAAAAATCTAACCTTTTGTTTTGTTTATCAGATAAAAGCCTTGATGAATGAGTATAATAGGAATGATAATGTATTTCAAGGTTCTCTTTTGCAGTACTTGGTATCCAGCCTAGGAAGACTATACAATGAGCTATATTCTGAGCCCTTTTCAGTTTTTGAGACAGGTTCTCACATAGTTGCCCAGGCTGGCCTCAAACTTGTTGATCCTCCCTCCTTAGCCTCTCAAGTGCTGAGGTTCCAGTCATGTGCTGCCAAGTCTGGCTTTTAGCTAGGTTTTTTTTTGGTACCGAGGATTGAACTCACGACCTTGCACTTGCCAGGCAGGCGCTTATGCTGCTGAGCTAAATCCCCAGCTACCTAGTACTTTTGTAAAGGTAAAGAAGTAAGGCTAGAGCTGTCTCTATCCCATTAGGGAGGCCTGTGCTCCCAAATCACACAGACCATAGGATTAAATCCTGCAGCAGAGACTGGACTGTGGCTAAGTAGCAGAAATAGGGAGAAAGCCTCTGCTTTCCTAAGAATGTGCAGACAGTAAACAGACACATACAGCCAACTTTGAGAGGCCCATCGAGTACCTCGCAAGGAACATGCTGCTGCCCACCCTGATGTCGCAGGCAGAGGACAGCCTGCCTGCATGGGAGGGAAGAGCATTACAGTCCTCCAGGAGGAGCGCAGGAGAAGGCAGGACAGAGACAGTGGGGAGTGGGGGTAGGATGCTAAAACCAAGGCAGGGGCACCTGGGGCGAGCATTTGTTTGTTTTTAGAATTGTGCCTGGGAAGGCATGGGAACATTTTAAATGACACATCACATGGAAATGGCACAGTAATCTGGTTGCTATGGAGAACAGATTATAGGGGCAAAAGTAAAAAGTATGCCTTTTTAATAGACTACAAAAATAAGTAAGGTTGATGAGAAATAAACCGTTAGTTTCTTTTAAAGCAACACCAACAAAAGCCACATACACCTTGCACAAGTTAATTTCTTAGTTTTAATAAATGTTCTATGATTATGTAAGTTATTAACAGAGGAGAGCAAGGTGACCTCTATACAGGAACTCTTCTATTTTTGGTACTCTGCTCTAAGACTAAAATTATCTCAACACTTAAAATAACTGTTAAACAATAACAAAAATCTCTCTGTACCTTGAATGAGCAGTTAAAAGTTATAAAATTGTTAAATTTAGGTACTGTACCAAGAGCAGAAGAGTCCAAAAAAATACAGTGTAAACAAATAGATTCTTGGTTAATTGATTTGGGCCAAAGTCCATCTCTGGATTTGCATTTGGTGAGTGTGCTTCATGGGGAACGTAAGCAGTCTCCTTTAGGAATTTAGTCTTTGTGGGAAATGTGCAGCAAAACACTTTGCAATCTTGTGTTTTTCTTTTGAATCTTCAGCAACATCTCGGATCAGTGATGCGCACTTGGCAGACACGATGATTGGAAAAGCGGTGGAGCACATGTTCGAGACGGAGGACGGCTCCAAAGACGAGTGGAGGGGGATGGTCTTAGCACGGGCACCTGTCATGAACACGTGGTTTTACATCACCTATGAGAAAGACCCCGTCTTGTACATGTACCAGCTCCTAGATGATTACAAAGAGGGCGACCTTCGCATCATGCCCGATTCTAGTAAGTATATATCGGCAGCTTTCAGTGTTAGTAATTCCAAAGGAATTGGGATTTTAAGGTCCTTAGTTGTTTATGCAGATATACTGTTGACATTTGGATATATGATTCTTCTAGCCATCGAGCACAAAGGCATTATGGATTTTACCCTGTGAAATTTTAGGCGAAGAAAGTTTGATACTAATTTTTGCTTGGTTCCTGTAATACAATAAAGGTTGTTTAAAAATGTATTAATGTTACTGTTATGTATTACTTAAAAATACTTGAATGCATGGGAAGAGCAGAATAAATAAATACATTCCTTTCAGTCTTAGCAGCTTTCAGCTCATTGCCAGTCTTGTTTTACCTGCTTTTCAGCTGAATTATTTTGAAGCTTATCTACAGGTTTATCATTTTGTCTGTAAATATTGGAACTTTAGTAAATACTGATGTCAGAAAACTGTTCTTTGGTGACCTTTCTTTCGGTGGTAGCTAGGTAATCTATTTAGATTACTCCACAAGTGATCCCAGGTCACAGATGGTCATGTGTAGAAGGTAGAAAGGTACTTATGACCTGGTTTTATCAAGCCTGGTTCAAGAGGCAGAACAGTTTCACTGTGGTACAATTCCTGTGCCATCCACTTAGTGTGTGAGATGAGCAGTCCGAGTTTGTCACTACGGTTAAGTGGTCAGTTTTAGAATGTTTCCATCCCTTGAAGAGGAGCAGTAGCTTTTCAACCATCACTCCCTTGTGCTCCTTCCTGCTCCCTCACCACCCTAAGCAACCGGTAATTACTTTCCGTAGAGGTTTTCCTACTGTGGACTTCCGTGTGAATGCTCTGTGTAATACAGGGTCCTTGTTGCTACTTGGTTTTCAGAGCTCATCCATGCTGTAGCATGTGACAGCCCTTTTAATGACTAAGTACTATTCCATTGTACAGGTTACCATGTTTTGTTTATGCATTTATCCATGCATGGTCGTTTGGGTTGTTGCTGCCTTTGGTTGATGAGCGTTGCTGCTGTGAACGTGTGCGTATAGGTTTCTGTGTGGCTGTTGGTTTTAATTTTCCTGGTTGCATGCCTAGGAATGGAGTTCCCAGTGATAACTTGGTTACGGTAACTGACTTTCAAAATGGCCTGACCATTCTGCTTTCTTGCTAGCCGTGTGTTGAGTTTTGCTTTCTCCACGTTCTCACCAGCGCTTTGTGTTTCCTGATCCTAGCTCTCCTACCAGCGGATATGATGTGCTCATTGTGGTCCTGGTTTGAGTTTTCCTAATGACTGATAATGTCTGAAGGAAGGGTCTTTCATGTGCTTATTGGCTACTTATATGTCTTCACTGAGGTCTTGTTCAGATCCCCTGCTCATTCATTTATTGACTTGTCGTTATTGAATTGTGAGTCGATATTCTAGACATAAGTCCTTTATCAGATTGTTTTTTCCATTCTGTGGGTTATGTTTGCACTTTCTTAGTGATGTTCTCTGAGCCACAAAAGTTTTTAACTTTTAAATCTGTTATTCTTGTTGCATATGCTTTTACCTTATCTAAGAATCTCTTGTCAGATCCTTGAAGGTTTATCCCTGTATTCTCTAAGAGTTTTATACTTGTTGAATTAATTTTTCTTTCATGTGAAGTAAAGGTTCAGCTTCATTCTTTTATTTGTGACTGCCTAGTTGTCTGAGCACCAGTTTCCAAAGACTGTTCTTTCTGTTGTAGAAGTCTTTGTGCTGTTAATGAGAATCAGTTAGCTTGATATCTCAGTGTATTTCTGGATTCTCATTTCTGCTGAATAGGTCTGTCATGTATACAATAATGACATTGTCTTGATTATATTGTTTTGCGGTATTTAAATTGTGAAATGGGAGGCCTTTGATCATTTTCAGGATTGCTTTGACTGTTCTGGGTTCCATGCAATTCCATACGAATTTTAAACTCAGCCTGTCTTTTTTGTGTCTGTGTGTGATACCGGGGATTGAACTCACGACCTCGCACTTGCTAGGCAGGCGCTTATGCTGCTGAGCTAAGTCCCCAACCTCAGCCTGTCTTTTCCTACAGAGAAGTTTGCTGGAATTCTGGGATATGGGAGTGTGTTGAATCTGTAGCTAGTCCACATAATATCACCACATTAAGTGCTAGTAGATCTCAACAAGCGCTCCAATCCATGGGCACTCTTATACTCTTTTTTTTTTTTTGAGGTAGAATCTCATTGCCCAGGCTGGTCTCAAATTCTGGGGCTGAAGTGATTTTCCTGCCTCAGCCTCCCAGAGTGCTGGGATTTTCACTAACCTATTTAAAAGAATTGATTGCATGCAGATACTTAATTTGTATTATGTTTTGACTGTACCACATATCAAATAGCAGTATGTGAATTATTGTTTAATGAGAGGATTTATTCCATTTAAGTGACAAACAGTTGTTAATGTAAATAATGTAAGGTCCAAACTAGGAAACCGTACTTGTGAGAGTCAAGGGGATCACTGCAGCTAGTTGTGCCAAGATAGCACCCACTCTGCAGAGCTCGATGTCAGGTGCCTTCCCTGACAACAGGTCGTTGCTGTGAGGGAACCCTTCAGTGGCCCCAGACTCGGAAGGAGATTACTGCAGTAAACCGAACTGCCTGGGCACTTTGTTTCTGGTTTTCTCGTTGGTGATGATGGAGTGCTGTCGCTCTGTGCTTCTGGTCCCCCTATTTCCCTGCAGCTCTTGCAGATCGTGCTAGTGTCTTGAGTGCCCTTGGAGATTCTGTCCACTTGGTCTGGGACTGGAGTTCAGGTCACACTTGTTTTTAAAGCAAGAGGTTAGGGTGTAGGAAGACAAATGGGATGGAGTGAAGTTGAGGTGAGGAAGTGTTAAGGGTTTGGAGTAAAACCAATATCACTTACGCCTTTTAAGTGAATGATATATTTTCAGTCATACTTTTAGGAGTTGTTTGCTTTAAAATCCCATTTAAAAGTCAGAGTTATTTTTGGGTAATTACAGGCATGTTTTAACATGAACCGAGTGAGCTGTTGCCTGTTTTTTTGGTTACTTCAGTTATTCATATACCCATCTATGTAGATCAGAGGCTGACAAGCTGTTTTGTAAATGATGCTTCATTGGAACATTGCACACCCATTAACTTCTGCTTTTTGCTTTGCTGTTTTCATCCTGCACTTGCAGAGTTGAGTGATTGGGACCAAGACCATGTGGCCTAAAGCTTTTACTGTTCTGGCCCGCACTTTAAGAAAAAGTCCCCAGGTAGTGAGTTAGCTCATCAAAGATGAATTCAGGCTGTTTAAAGTTACAGTAAAGGAATCATGTAAGTGGCTATGTATCTAAAGATTGATTTAACTGTTTCCTTATAAATGCAGATGATTCACCTCCAGCAGAAAGGGAACCAGGAGAAGTGGTGGACAGCCTGGTAGGCAAACAAGTGGAATACGCCAAAGAAGATGGCTCCAAAAGGACTGGCATGGTCATTCATCAAGTAGAAGCCAAACCATCCGTCTATTTCATCAAGTTTGATGACGATTTCCATATTTATGTCTACGATTTGGTGAAAACATCCTAGATGTCATCGCGAACTCTGCCAAATTTGTGGAACTATTAAATGTATAATTTGTAGACATAAAGACTTGATTGCTTTCCAGTTTATGAAAGCTTAAATGTCCCTGCGAACCCACAATCTCTGCCAGCAGAACTGGTTTTGTTCTGAATAGTACAGATGGATGTGAACACAAAGCATTTTGTGTAAGGAGAACTTCTTCATCTTACAAGAAGTCTGTCTGTTGGGAGGGGAGTTACAGGCAAGTTGGTAAAAGTTAAGCTAGTATCATAGTCATTTAAATCTGTAATAGATCTTAATCATTTCCCCCTTCACTTTTAATACCGCCACAATGCAAGCATAGTTTGGTATTTTTGTTATTGCCTTTTTTGAGATATATGTACTCATATCGACCTGTCTATCTGTATCTGAGTCTGTGTGCCTGCGTATTTATGTGCACACACACCCCACTGGCAGTCCTTTCCTTGTGGATTGGGATGGGTGATACATTTTCTCCAGTTTAACCGGAGTGCTTGACCCAAATCAGTCATGTTTATGATACTCTTGCTGTTTATTTAAAATTAAATTAGGGCACAGGAAGCATATAAGGATGTTCATTTATTTTGAAAATTAAGAGCTCAGAGCACCTGTTTGAATCTGGAGGCTTTAAACTATAAGTCCAAATATGAATTACAAACAGTTAATGACACATTTTTGGTAGGCTGGTGAGAAATCTGGGTAAAAGGCTGCCTTTAATTTTAAGCTTTCTAAGTTTTGTTTACATTTTAATTTTGAATACTTTTTAGCTCAGTTCAGGTCCTTTGTTCACTCAGTATGTAACGTAGGTGTGTCTTGAATGGTACATCTGGTTCGTTATTTGTATAAGTCACTCATCGGTTTTAGTTCATGGATTTAAAAGGCAACAGTACATAAATGGCTTGTGTGTATGTGGTGAGTTCCTGGAAGAACAGTGCTTTTGTATTTGGAATGTAAGTTTAAGAATGGCATTGTTGCCTTCTAATGTGTTCTCTGGGACTGTTTGTTGTTGTTGTTGTTTTCTGTTGTTGCTGGTATATGATTATGGTTAGTATCCCTTCCCCCAGCTTTGCCCCACAGAAGACCTCTGGCCAGGTAACAACTGATCTCTTGACACCTTTTTGGTGGTACAGGATGTGCCCTTGGCCCAGGCATGCTATTCATGTGGATTCCTCTCCTCTGCTGCCCTGGGGGTTTGTATATCAGCGATGTGTTACCGTGGAAGGCCCGTCACCTGTGTTGGCTTGTGGATGTAGGAGCAGCCTTGTGACAGGGTCTTGTCATGCGTTACTGCTGTAAGGTGGTTGAGAACTGAAATAAGCCAGGAGAATGAAGGTGCATGAAACCAGTGTCTGTGCAGATGGAAAATCTGACCTGTGGTTTGGGAGAGCCTCACGGGCATGCTGCCTACCAAACCCAGGGGCTTGGATCTGAGATTCTCGTGGTGTCTTTGAGGGCTGTTTTTTATGTTAGCAATCATTTCAGTTTAGAGCCTCATGATGTGTGGTTTGTTTGATGCCCATTTTCGCCTTCCTGAAGGCTTGTGCCTTGTGCTTTTGGGTGGTAATGACTGCTCACCACGTGAACGTAGTACATCAGTTCTCTGTCCTCAGCTGCAGTCGCCCTGTGCCCAGCGCTTCACCAAGGGGTAGGCTTCTCAAAGCAGTGTGATGCCCCAGTCGTAGATGCTTCGTGTGTGTGCGTGTGTGTGTGTGTGCGTGTGTGTGCGTGAGAGTGAGTGAACAGGTGTCTTCCTGCAGATCTGCTATTTCCCCGCATGTACATCTCAGAGCTGAGCCTGGCTCCCAGAGCCCATACCGACATGTGGCACGAGATGGTGAGTGTGTCCAGCACGCACAGAGGGTGTGCAGAATGTGGTGCAGTGACTTCCTGCTGGAAAATAAGTTCCTTTTAAAGGAGCCCAAGGGTTGGGTCAGTGGAAACATTTCTAGCATTACCTGATGACTTGCATTGTGGTCTCTCCGCAAGCAACTTTAATATACCCATGATCTCCCAGTCGCTAGAGGAATGCAACATGGTGATGATTTTAATCATTGTTCATTTATTGCCTTTTGGGCTGAGGGGAGGGTTTTTTTTTGTTGTTGTTGTTTTTTCATATTTTTTCCCCCATTCTTTTTTTCTTTTGGTGACTTAAGCCTCACTTAATGCTGTGACTAATTCTGCTCCCGAGTCCACGCGTCCCGGGCTTCGTTTTAGGCTCATGTTTCAGATCTGCATGCACTGCTTGCATTTTTCTGGTATCTGGATGTTGGTTCCTTGTTCTAGGAGTTCAACATTAATTTCCAAAATTATCATGGGACTTGTGACAACACAAGACATGAATCTATGTATAAAAGTTATTGGCCTTTCTCATTTACCTGCTCTAGTGTTGTATCGTGTGTGCGTGCGTGTGTGATGTCAGGCTGCCACGTAAAACTTTCAGAGAAGAACCTTAAAAGCAGACCATCCTTTTTTGCATGCTCTATTCTAAGTAGAATGTTCAATGTAACTAACTGAATTGCATGTTAAAGATATTTAGGTTTTTTGTTTTCTTTTTTCTTTTTATTTGTTTTCAGTTTCCTGTATATTTGCTTACTGTGCTGTTCTAGTGGTTGTAGGATAAAAATGCACTGGTGAAGCAAATGTAGTGCCAACAGAAGGTGATTTTCCCGTTGTATATGTCATGCAGCATTTGAAGGGACTGTGCATTCTTAAAAAAATCACAGTTACTTCTAAACCAGATTTCATTTCTATTCTTGTTTTATGTGCCAAATCCCGAAGTGCATTGGGCTTGAATCTCTGAACACTGTAGACCCATTAGTAGAAGACTGTTCTGATTGTCACAAATTGTAGTGCCTGAAAACACTCTTAAGCTGATTGTCTTAAAAAATGAAAGTTCTCCAAAGACAAAACAGGAACATTGATTCTAACAAATTGGTGATGGTCGAAATGTCTGTGGTTCCTTGGAAATGCTGCGCTCTGTATCTTCCATCATTGGTGCAGTTCGGATGAATGTGTATAGTTCAGAGGTCTTCGTGTTCACATTTCAAACTAGGTAAATGGCCTCATCTTTTGAGCTTGAATTCATTTTTAATTTTATTTTATACAATGTGTAGACAGTTTCCTGTTCTTTGCATTTAGAAGTATACACAATATAAATCTGTTAATTCTGTAAGTAATTTTTATAATTATGATGTATCTCTATCCTATCCTTAAAACATTTAAAATAAACCCTTTATGTGCAACAACTGACTATAAATTTTGTGCTCATGAGCAAAAACGTGATGTATTAACTTGCTTCTTAAAATTTTTTTTAAGCAAAATGACCTTTTTTGCTACACATGTCAGATATGGATAGAAACAAAGAAATAGAAATTTTCTTTTCTTTTCCTTTTCCTTCTGAGACAGGGCTTCACTGTGTAGTTCAGGTTGGCCTCAAACTTGTGGCAGTCTTCGTGCCTCAGCCTCCCGAGTGCTGGAGTTACAAACATATGCCCCTATGCCTGGTTCAGAAAATTTTAATTGATAACATTTGATCATTAATTCCTGAAAGGGTAGGAAGCAGTCGTCTTTACTGCAAGTGTCTCAGCTCTTAAGTTGACAGTAGTGAGAGGCTATTATTTACCTAAGATTTTAGAAGAATTATTTTAAGCAAAATTATTAAATAATGGCGTATTTACACTTTCACATTTTTTCTTCCTTTGAATACTGCTTATAATACATTTATTCATACTTAAAATACCAGTCAGTGAAATTGTACAAAGAAAAATCCCAGCTTTCAGTGCTAAGTTAAAGAACTGAAGGTAGTATAAAAACATGTACGGGGCTGGGGATTTAGCTCAGCGGCATAAGCGCCTGCCTTGCAAGCAGGCAGTCGTGAGTTCGATCCCTGGTACCGATAAAAATGAAAAAGACAAAAAAAAAAAAAAAAACATGTACGTATGTGTTCTATGTTTTATCTTTTTTGGTAGTTTTAATCAAGGTAAAAATTAGAATTTATGATGTGTCTTAATTTTTTTGCTTTAATGCCTCCCTGTTCCCTCCAGAAGATCTGGAACTGAAGGCTGGGGGTGGGCAGGAGTTTCCTCTTGTCCTGCTTCTGGGGGAAGGCTGGCACTGGGTAAGAGAGAAATGCAGACTTAGGCTTCCGGACACCTGGCTTCCAGGCTGTCCCAGCCTGTGTCAGTGCAGCAGCTGTGAGCAGGATCAGGGTGGCCCCTGGGTGGGGCTGAGGGCAGGGTTTGCTGCTCTGAGGGAGGAAGGACCTTTGGGAGGATAGACTTGTAAGCTTGTTGCTGGTGTCCCCCCAAGGTGCACTGCTCAGTAAATATTTTCCCAACAGACACATTTAGTCTGCAGGTTGGAATTTGTCGACAGGTACAGTTTTGTTTCTGTTTTTTATTTGTTTTTGTTTGAACCAGGGATCTGAACTCATGACCTTGTGCTTACCAGGCAAGCACTTGAGCCACTGAGCTAAACCCCTGGCAGTACCAGCTCCATGTTGAAGTGTGCCAGAGCTGTAGGACCCTGCTTTTACCTTTTTTCTCTTGGTACAGTTAAGCTCACTGGTAAATCACTACCAGCATACTTTGCCAGGTGTTTGCCACACTGGTTTGTATATCAAGAGGAAAACACCCCTCTCCCTCTTCCCTGGGGGCAAGGCAGAGGACCGAGGCTTTCCTGCACAGTTCCAGGAGCAAGAGGCAGCAAGTGCTTGGCTTTGTGGAGGCCCAGGCCCTGGACTGCTCTGTTGATGCCTGGGGTTGAGTAATGCTGGTGGAGGGACTTGGGTAATCTCATAGTGTAACATCCTCTAATATCCATAACCTTACTTAATGAGTTGATAGCAAGAAAATATTTTTATTTTCAGGTCGAGCCTAATAAAAGGTTTCTTTTTGTATATTAAAAGCCAGAACCATTTTCAAAGTAACTTTTAAAAACACTGTAAATATATGATGATATTAACATATTGCAAAAACCTGAATTTTTTTAGGCTCCTGGTATATGTGCTCATACCTAAGTTTTATAGCCATTGGCCTCCCTGTTATATAAGAGTTTAGACTACAGAGTTTTAGAAAATTAAGTTTTGAGTTATTTCTCCAGCCACTCCTCATCTCTGTCTGCCCTTAGCTTGCCTGTGATTGACTTTGGTAAACCTCAGACTGTTGCAGGCTTTCTCTGCTTTGATTGTTAAGTTGGAGCCCCGGGCCAGGGTGTGAGTCTCAGCCAGCTGTGGGGCGGGGCCGTGAGACCAGCTGTGTAGGCCCACTCACTCTGGCTGTGTTTCCATTCTCAGCTTTCTCTCCATTACTTTGAATACGTACAATTTAAGCCCTGGGTGCGCTACCTAAAATCTTGGTAAGATGGGCTACTGTGTGTTGCTCATCTGTGTTGTTGTTTATGTTGGGATCCTCGAAGCAGACAGCAGAGGTGTGAAAGGCCAGAAGGCCTACTCAAAACCTCAATGTTAAAACTGAATCACCCTCATAAACTCAGGATTGGGTTGTCCTCACACTCCAGCTTTCAGTCTCGGGAGAAATACAGTAGCTGTTTTCCGTGACCTTTACTACTCTGGTGCTAACTAAAGAAACCGGGGCACTGGTCACTGTTGACCGTAGAGGATGGACGTCACAGCAGTAGCTCTTCCTCCTGAAGTCATTGCTTACTGCTTATTTTATTTCACTGTGAGCACTGTTTCCTGGAGACCTGTTAATAAAAAGCTTCAAGACTGCATAGACAATCTAAAAAATTGCTTTTGTGAGAAAGTAGCTTTACCTACTTTTGTTCCTCAATCTAGTCTTAATCGGATTTGTCAGTACCAGGAAGATCGAATGTGTCATTTTCCAAACACAGAGAGCCCAGTATTATAAAACAAGGCTGAAGCAAAAGAGTAGAGTCTGTTGTCGATCTGCTGAGAGGCGTTGTGTTGTGTTGTTGTGTTTCGTTTTGTTTGAGACAGGGTCTCACTATGTAGCCGACGCTGGCATTGAACTCAGAGCAGTCCTTCTGCCTTAGCCTCCCAAGTTCTGAGATTACAAGTGTGCACAACCCTGCTCAACTGAGAGGTCATTTTTGAAGGCCTGTAAGGGGTGGAGATAGCAAAATTAGTGTACTCAAAATTAATAGCTAACTATTACCAACCACTCAGAGTGAAACTCTCAGGTCCCATGACTCCCTGCTCCCAAACCAGCCTCGGAGGCCTGTGTCAGTTCAGCACCTACCCTGAGGGGTCAAAGGGCCTCGGCCACACATGGCCTTTCCCATGCCTGGGACACTGGGTTCCATAGTAATGAGGAGAGGGCAAAGGCAATGCGATTGGCATGGCAGCTCCAGGCTGTCTGCCTGCCTCCCAGCCACCCCCCCCCCACAGGAAGGCAAATGACCTGGGCACCAGGGCAGGCACCGCGCAAACCTGAGAGGTCTGAATTGCTGGGCTCTGAAGAAGAAATTCTAATCTGTAAGTGCCATTGTGCCACATCTGTGTGACATAGGAGTTTGGTTTGTGCTGTTCTTCTTTTGGGTCCTTCGCCTCTGCCAGCCTCTGTAAGAATTGCTGCAAGTAAGCCATGTTGAGAGGTGAGCAACACCCAACTCACACCGTCCTCTTTACTTATGGGAACAAGCACGGCAGACCAGGGCCATCTGGGTCTCTCATTTGTTTCCACATTATCGGCTTTCGAGTACACTGGATTACTTCCCGTGCCTTCCTGACAGTGCTGGAGTTGGCACCGTCAGGTAGTGCCCAAGGAGTGGGCGTGCCTTCGGGGGGTGGGGGGGTAGGGGGGTGTCCCCAGGAGGAGGAAGCAGTCTGCACCTCTGGGCTCTGGGCACAAGCGTTTTAACTATTAGCTATAGCCGTTCCTTTACCTTTCTAGTACTTCTGAAATAATTTATGTTTCCAGGAGAAAAGGTTCTGAATTAAAAACAGCTTAGTTTTCAACATCCTAATCGTGATTTCTGTTGTGTTGTGACAGTGGCCCCCACATGCTAAGTAAAGCCAGCTTCAGTTACCACATTGATTCAGACACAGGTATAACTGTCAGACGTCTGTGAACCTTTCTAAGGCTGGCAGGAAGCTCCCCATCCTTCCGGAGGAGTTAAGAGGTGTGAGTGGTGGCAGTGCTGATAGAATCAAATGCCTCTGTCCCCTTGAGAAAACAGGCATGGGTTAGGGGTGCTCTGGATCCTCAGGGCGGAACCTTTTGGAGACTCGGACCATAAGGCAACAGAAAGCCCACTCGTCACAGAATGCCAGAACTGCAGTCAAAGCTGAAACTGACGCTTTACGTCTAGGAAAAAAACTACAATAATGTCTTCTGTCCTACACAGAAAACAACGTGTGATGCCGTAGATTTCCACCCTGCTCTAGATCTTCAGTCTAGACAAGATACCTGGAGGTGAAGGTTGACTACACTTCTGCAGGGTGGAATTTTGGACAGAGGTGGCTTCCAGTTCTGTTTTAAACTTAGAAATCTAACGTCATTCAGTTCGGTGCTCTTCAGGTAGCAACAAGAATGTGTATTTTCCTTTATAGTATTTCCTAAAAGTGGGTACTGCCAAAAGATTTCGTAGGCCACCTGAATCTTTTGTGGGACACACTGGATATAAACAGCTACAGAGTTCTCCTCTCCTAGTTCTTAGTCTGTTACTGTGTGGAAGATCGCTTTTTCTTCCCAGATCAGTGTGAACTAATAGAGTATTGTACCACCCTACTGCTCTCAGCAAAGCAGTAAAGGAAGTGGCTTCTAAAACTGGTAATCACTGTTCCCGATCTGTGATCTGTCAACTCAGCTGTCAGTCAAGTGCTGTGGCGGTGTGGGGAATTTGGGAGCTGGTGTTTGGGTAAGGAGTTGAACTGCAGGTAGGTGAACGAGATCTGATTAGAGCTTGCCTCAGGGATTTTGGAGTCTGGCTTCTGTTCTTTATCATGAAAATCTCTGGTTTCTTTCTTTCCTTGCAGAGTTTTTTTAAAAAAAAAAAAAAATCAGCTGTGTGGTTTAGGCCTATAACCCCACACTCAGAAGGCTGAGGCAGGAGATCAAGGCCAACAAGGGCTACATAGTGAGAGCCTGTCTCAAAAAACCAAAACAGTAGTAGCTTTTATTTTTTTCGTACTGGGGATTGAGCTCATGACCTCATGCCTGCCAGGTGACTTATGCGACTGAGCTAAACTCCTGGTTTGACAGTAGTAGTTTTTTAAAAAGTGTGTCCAGAGGCTGGGGATTTAGCTCAGCAGCATAAACGCCTG